TAGATATTTACAGCAGTTTTAGATATGCGAGTTAAGTTACCTAGTTCATAGAATAGTCTGAAAACAATCATTAAGAAAAATTATAGTAACATCGTGTGTCCTATGAAATGATGTATCCTGAAAAACAAGTGTTCTTTTGTATTTTTAGGTTCAAGCCTTTCCAGTTTGGCTCCAACAAATTCGCGAGCAACGCTGGTCGTTACAATGTAGCCAGCGCTTCAGCGACCGCGTCCTCTTCCGCGGGCCGATACAACCCCGCCGCCTATGACCCAAGCCGCTACAACCCAGGACGCTACGTCGACAACTCCGGACGCTACGACCCCAGCAAAGACAACTCCGGACGTTACGTCCCGGACGGCTCTGGCGCTTACAAGTACGTAATACTTTAAGGCTCGGTTGAACCACCTCAATTTGACTTTAACAAAAGTAAAAAATCTGTCAAACTCCATACAAAAAACATCGGTTATCGTTATAATGTAGTTACGGTCAAAGTTAGGTGGTGCAACTCAAACTAAGTTCTTTAATGCTGCGCTATTTACTCTTTATATCACTCGTAGAAATAACTTAATACCAATAAGCAGTTTCTATCAGCTAAATATCAGTCAAATAGAGTCGGGAAGTGTTGCTGGTGGTAACTAATGTTGCCATGTCCAGTGTGTTCAATTTCGGGAAAAAAGTTAAAAACCGGGACTGGACTAGAAACCCCAGTTGGAAGAATTAAACTCAAATCTTCATTATTATGAACATTTTCAGACATAGGACGCTCATCGTTGAATATAGGATTGTCCTGAATTTCGCAATGCTAAATTGTTCAAGAATGCTTCATGGTTTGTGTTTCGAAGGAAGAGTTCAGAATAAAAAAGAAGCTCTAGATGTTTTTGGTCATTAACCTACTTAAAGAGCTAATAATACTATTGAATCTAGATCCAGTTTCCATTGAAAGTATAAGTTGAACAGGAAAATGGAAACGCTGCATTTAGGCTAATGTATTCTAGATATCCGAGCTACACACCAAAGGTCATTGGTTCACATCTCTAAATATTTGGTTCAATAGCCATAAAACAGGGTCTGTTTAGTCGGTTACATAAGAGTTGCTGTGATGGAGTAAAAGAAAATGTGAATTGCAGGACGCAGACTTTTTTGTAGAGATTTTGTCTAATTGTAGTTATGTTTTTTCTTTACTAGCGGTGACCGTGGTGACCGCGGTGCTGCTGGTGGCTTCTACAGCGGTTCCTCCGACAAGGGAGGTCCCGGAGGCTTCTACTCCGGTTCTTCAGACAAGGGAGGACCCGGCGGCCCTGGTGGAGCCTACAAGCCTGAACCCAACGACGGTGGCAAATACAAGGGCGACAAGAGGTAAGATTTAACTTAGAGAACATATACATATAAATTAACATTTAACTCTTTTTAAATGGTAGCCCACATAATGTGAAAGTTACGACTAAAGGGATGACGAGGACCGCGGCCGGCGCTGTGCGAAATTTAACTGTTTTGTTTTATTTTTCTAGCGGAGGCGCTTACTCTGGTGGAGCAAGCAGCGGTTCTGGTGCTGGTGGCTTCGGCAGCGGCTCTGGAGCTGGTGCCTTCGGCAGCGGCGCTGGTGCTAGTGCCTTCGGCGGCGCGTCCGCTGGCGCCTCTGCTAGCTCAGGCTTCGGCAAGGGCTCCGGCTCCGGAGCCAGCAAGCCCGTCCAATACAGCGGCAGTGCCGGAAGCGGCACCGCCTCTGGTGCTGGCCACTACGACTACAAGTTCGGTATCATCCGTTTCGAAAACGACGTCGAACCTGAGGGATACCACTACCTCTACGAAACCGAGAACAAGATTCTCGCTGAGGAAGCCGGCAAAGTTGAAAAGATTGACAACGAAAACGAAGGCATCAGAGTCAAGGGATTCTACGAGTTCGTCGCGCCTGACGGCATCACCTACAGGGTAGACTACATCGCCGATGAGAACGGCTTCCAGCCCAGCGGCGCTCACTTGCCCAAGTAATCCAGAACTAGTCCTATTTGATTTAAGTCTTGCCCAGTGACCTTATTAGTCATGTAAATAGTTGGTTGTACCTTGTTCTCAAAACTAAACTATGTTAAGTTTAACACGATCATCTTAGTAGTTAACCTGACCTGTGCAATAATCGTAGTTGTAAATAAATACCTAGTAAAAATAAACGAGTATTTTTATTTAATATTGGTGGTTCATATCTATTATCCACTCCCAACCAATCCCAAATAAAAAACTGAGCTGAGTCATTGAGTTTTAAAATTATGTGAAATCTAATTCACACCGATTTTAGTACAAGCTTATTGAATTTCAGCTATGATGACAACGATAGTACCTACTTAATTTTCGCTGTCGATATTGGTTGTCGCGTTCAGAGTACAAAAGTAGTGAAATTAGCTTTGTTGTTAAAATTTAACTTTTAATTTTCACTTAAGTCCTATTTACACCACTTTCATGAGATTTTTCTATCAGAATCAGAATCGAACAGTGGAAAAAACAAGCTGATAATAATTGCTATATTACATAATTATATTGTAATATGATATACCTAATATACTTCCTGAAATGACTATAATAAGATTGTTTACTCATAGGTATACATTATGCATAATACAAATAATAGTTCAGGTTCATCTTACGGCTAAATGTCAAAAAAACTTGGTCAACCAATATTAATTATTCATTTGGTTAATGTTTCTGTCAAGTCTATAAATCACTCCTACAAGAGAAGGATTTTGTATAAAATGGCAGTTAAACGATAAAATGTATGAAAAAAGATCGATTTCATATAATTTTGATAATCAGATGGAATGTTGTCATCCCGGACTTGGCATTATCAAGATGGATACTGAATTACTGACGTATTGTCTTCGCTTGACGATGTGTCATTGTGAGGAGCTATTAAAAGAAATAACTTTCATATATTTAAATTTATTTAACTAGTTAATGGAGTATTACCTACTTAGGCTGAGTTGCACCATCTTACTTTGTAAAGTAAAAGTTTGTCAAAACGTCAAAAATCTGTCAAAGCCCATTCAAAAAGCATTGGATAATGTTATTGTTACGGTTAAAATAAGGTGGTGTAAGTCAGCCTTAATATTAAACGTTTAAGCTTTTCTCGTCTGAAGCACAGGTTTTGACTTAGTTTTCTATATACTTATAATAAATCTGTAGAGAGGTCAATGTTGTACATGAAATATGTTTCCAAATTAACTATCGGGGGGTGATTAGTGACCGATACTGATGCCAAAAATGCAATCAGTAAAATTTTTGTCTGTCAGTCTGTCTGTCTGTCTGTCTGTCCGTCTGTATGTTCCTTATAGAAACAAAAACTACTCGAGGGATTTTAACGAAACTTGGTACAATTATTCTTCATACTCCCGGGCAGGTTATAGTATACTTAGGAATTCCCACGTGAACAGGAATTAGCGGGAAAATCCTTTTGTATGAAAAATCTAAACCGCTTAAGTTAGACGCTTAAAATTTGGCATGTAGGTACCTTAATAAACTTAAAGGTTAGTTACAACAAGGAATTCCCGAAATTCTTACAGGAACGGGAATTAGCGGGAAAATCCTTTTGTATGAAAAATCTAAACCGCTTAAGTTAGACGCTTGAAATTTGGACTGCATGTACCTTAGAAAATTAAAAGCTTAGTTACAACAGGATATTTCAAAATTCCCACGGGAACGGGTGTTAGCGGGAAAAAACATTTGTATGAAAAAATCTAAACCGCGTAAGATAAATGAAGGGGGTAAAACGGGATCCACGCGTACGAAGTCGCGGGCGGCCGCTAGTCTATCTATCTATCTATATAAATAAAAATGAATTGATGTTCGTTAGTCTGATTAAAACTCGAGAACGTCTGGGCCGATTGAGCTGATTTTGGTTTTAAAATGTTTGCCGTAGTCCAGGGTAGGTCTAAACGGTGAGCAAATACGCGCGCGATATTGTTTTTCTGTGACAGACAAAATTCCACGAGGGCTAAGCCGCGGGCGGAAAGCTAGTATATTATAATAAATCAAAGTCTTTTTTTAGCCCAAAGTGAGAACTAACTGAGAACTTTTTAAGGTAGAGCTTATGATCTATTAATGAATGAACAAATTACAATGTAATGAAAAATCTTTAAAACTTTTATACCAACAATATTTTTATTCATAAATGATGCTGTTACCGATTTATGTTAATAAAATATATTACACAATGAACGAATGCTACTGTTTTGTGGGAACTTTATTCAAACCAATACGCGGAACCAGTTTATGGAACAATATCTTATTTTTTGTACATCATAGTGAATCAATTTAGATAAAATCAATAGTTTTAACGTTTCGTCATAGAATAAATTACTGAATTATAAATGTTTTTCTATCGGATTACAATTAATCAACACGCGTAGTCGTCTTTTGTTTTTGTTGCAACATTAACTAAAAAATAATTCGTAGGTCAAGTCCTTCTAAAGTATCGAACGAATACAAAGTTAAGTTCGACACTTATCATAGGTGTGTGATAGGCATAAAATTAAAGCAATTTCCCAGTATGTGACTGATATAATGAAACAAAAATATATCATTACATACTAATAAAGAAAATAAATTTGAATTTAAACCATTTAGGTAACTCTATTTCCAATTTGCTCTTCTAAATAAATGCTCTTAGATTGATTGTAGAAACCTATCTTATTTGCTTAGATAAAATGATAATAAGTCATACTTTACTAATCATATCATACGAGGTATAAAAGATAATCTTCATTACAATTTGAATACTGATAGGCGCTTAAATATCTTACCAATTACTACCCGTTGCTTATAATATCCATTATTCTAGGAACTCGGCTCTGAGGACGAGAATACCCGTGCCATCTCAATTTAAATGTAAATAAACTAAGACATCAGGAATGCAGTGCCTACACATATTGTTGCATTTGAAAATTCATTTTTGTTTTATGCAAATCGATGTGTGAAGCGGATCCCGTACGCATTCCATATGAGAGTTACGACTCTCATGCAGTCGGTCGTCTCAAATCGGGCACTGCACAGGACCGCGCACATTCTGTGCGAGTGAGCGACCAAAGGTGCTCCGCTGACGCTCCGATTCATCTCAATAAATTTGAAAATATGCTAATTCTTCAATCTGACCTCGTCACACCTTGATAGGAGTTCCACAATTCGGTATGTCTAAAATCTAATTTATTAAGTGTTTAAATGTTAATTAGATGCAAAAGAAGCGCCATTATCTCAGGCTGATGGCTATTCTGTATCTGAATAATACAGGCTTAACTTGTCTTCCTGTTCCAGTTTCAGATCTACTCGATAATCTGTGGTGGAAGCTACTGACAGTGATTCTTAGTGATTTATTGATAACAGTGAAGAATCGACCGCCACTCAGCATGAAGCAATCGTCAAGAGTGAGTTTTTTTTATAAAAATTTAGTAGCTTCTTACTTTAAAGGAATTATTATACGAATACAAAATAAAACGCTTCTCTTAAATTCGTTCACAAAGGAGATATTGAGTTAATAGTCGTAAACGAAGCAGGGTAGATTAAGTCATTTAAATCTACATAAAATCATAAAAACTTTTTAAATGTCTATCAATTTGTGATGATGACATTTAGTTTTGAAGAGCTTTGTGACTTACTAAATTTGGTAGTAGGAAGTGTGTATTGTAAACCATTTTAGATAGGTAGATTGCTTTACAGAAATATGTCATTTATATTTTGCAAAAGAGAGTGAGAGAGCTGGGCCCTATCGAGTATTGTTTCTTGATCAACCCAAAACTACGATTGCAAGTTTTGTAGAGATTATTTGAGAGAAATGGGTGCGAAAAATTGTGGTCTTGTGTGACTTGCTGGTTTAAAGAGGTTTTGTAGCAGCGAGTAGAGAGGCAGCGAGTTCGAATCCTACTGTAGGAGAAAGTTATAATATCTTTATTCTATTTTTGTGTGATTTGTCTGCTGTAACAATAAACAAATTGAAGTGATACTTATCACTTATATTTGTTCAAGTGTGATAGTTACGATAGTTTATTTATTTATAATATTATACTTACCAATTGATAAAATCATCAATACCCAGTACTCGATATAGGAAAGTAAAGCAATAATTTTCAACGATTTGTTTTCACCTTCGGAAGAAAACATTGTATGGACTTCCTAATTGTAAATTACTTAAAATTCAGGCACAGAATAATAATAAGTACTACGCAGCTACGTACAGAAGTTTTACTTCGCGAAGGTATTTAAAAAAATGTATGCTCAATGTCATTAACAATATGGTGTAATTTAGCTTGTCTCAAGAGTCAAGCACCATTTTGTTGACAAACGTCAGTGATCGGCACTGCGCCGAAGCTATAGGGCTGACTTCGGTAAAATGATGTGACGTGAGGTGCCAAACTGCGGAAAATGGCGGAGGAAATACATGATTTAGCATGAATTATCATGAATAATATTAACTACTTATTTACCTCTCAGTGTCTTGAGGCAACTTAAAAAAGTACATTCTGTGTTTTTATTATTATTTAGGCAGTTAAATACTGCACAGTATTTAGTACACCATTTTCTTTATTTTCTTCCATCATACACAAGAATACGCGTGCGTGAGTCAATGTTCGCTCGTATGTGAGGCCTTGTCGAATAGTATCCTGTAGGTGGGCCATCGTGCGTGTTTTGTTTTCGATGTAAACTCGCGGAGATGAACAGGCCTGATTCAGGCTTCTTGTTTTATCCACAATGAAGTTATAGGGGGTCGAAAATGGCCTGTGCTGTTTCAAGAAAAAGATACAGCCGGGCCGCTATTTTGCTCGACTTGGCGGAGGCTCTACCGTGTCACCCGATGACATCTTTAGAAATAGACTTTACCAATATAACTAATTTACAGTCGTCAAGTTCCTACCTATAAGAGTGGATTTTTTCAATTCAAAATCAAGTTCTAAAAGATTAAGCAGTGATTCATAAAACGAGTAACGGATCCTTGCTTATGCCGTTTGTCTCAAATGCCAAGTATTGCATGTAGCATCATTTATTTATTTGCCAATCCCAACAAGGAAGTTCAATCACCGCATATTTTTTGTTGCACCGTTAGAGTCGATATGTAACCTTATCCCACTAAAGTTAATGTTACGGTTTTTCAATGACAACTTATCATTAAAACGGTGAGGTGCAAGGACCAAGCACGCGGCAATAAAATCTGGTTGAAATATCAGACAGTGAAAAAGGTCGATTCTTGAAGAATTTAACGCTTACCTCTTCGCAACAAAGTTGAAAGTAAGAAGGGATGGCAAAGGGAAATTCCCCACCATTTTTTTTAAGTGACATCATCTTAAGCTGGTCAACTGACAATTTTTTTTGTATGTCGTCATGTCGTAAAATATTTTTTGCGTTTAGTTATGGGTGCAAGGCCACAAAGATAGGGTAAACCAGAGAGTGATTGCCCACTGGTAGTGATTGCCCGCTTTAAGAATAATATTGTTAGGTGCTGACTTTGAATCACTCTAGTTAGATTTGAATTTACTAAGTAGATGGCTCCGAGATCAATGTACAGTAGATTTATAATTTACAATAAGAAACCCTAAAAAAAAACAGTTATGGCGGATTTTGTCAAGACGGGTGAAAATGTTACTCAAACAGGTAAAGACTTTAACAATTTTACTAAGGAATTACTTGCTTAGAGGTTAAATTTTTTTTGCAAGTTATTNAAAGGGAAATTCCCCACAAATTTTTCATAAGTGACATCATCGTAAGCCGGTCAACAGACATTTTTTTTTGTATGTCGTCAAGTCGTAAAATATTTTTTGCGTTTAGTTATGGATGCCAGGCACCCAGATATATTTTATTTGAAATAAAAGTCAGATAAAATAACGATTTGATCTATTCACATTCTTTTACTGGCTTTTTGGTAGTAAAACTGCCTTCCGAAAAGAATGATAATAAAAATTAATCAAACATGTGTAATTGGATCTCAAATACAAAAATGTTTTTTTTNCAATGTACAGTAGATTTATAATTTACAATAGGAAACACTAAAAAAAAACAGTTATGGCGGATTTTGTCAAGACGGGTGAAAATGTTACTCAAACAGGTAAAGACTTTAACAATTTTACTAAGGAATTACTTGCATAGAGGTTAAATTTTTTTTGCAAGTTATTTAATATTCAACAAATGGTGTATAGTTACCCTATTTTGTATTTGAACTAAATCAGATAAAATGACGATTTGATCTATTCACATCCTTTTACTGGTTTTTTGGTAGTAAAAATGCTTTTCGAATAGAATGATAATAAAAATTAATGTGTCATTGGATCTCAAATCAAAAATGGTGTTTTTTTTTCAGATGTTGATCCTGTTGTTGGTAGTAGCTATACAATGTAAAGCGTTCGACGATGGTAAATATAGCCCAAAAAAATATAGAGTCAACGATGACGGTAAATACTATAGGCCGCTAGATGAGGGCAAATACATCCCTGGTGATGAGGGGAAATATACCTATATTTACAGAAACACATTATATCCAGCGTTTCCATACATTCATAAGGAAGGTCCTTCGGGTGGGTTTGGAGGCAACGGTGGGAATGGAGGGGATGGCTCTTACGGAGGTAATGGACCCAACGGTCCTGATGGCATTGATGAATCACAGAGAATTGAGTATATTGGACATAAAATTTACGCCGAGAGATACCCCTACATTCACAAAGTAATAAAGGCTTTAGTAGACAAATATGTATCAACAGAAAACTTGTTTGGGGAAACCTCTGAAGGAAGCTCGAATCATTACAGTCAAGTGCACGCTGATAAGGAATCTGCTGTTAAATGCCACTATCTGTCACCGAATCAAGAAGACGGCGAATTTGTGACTCAGTAAGTTTTTATTGTGATTACCTTTCTCAGAACTGTTCGGGCGAAGTCGTATTGAACCAGCTTAAAGTTACAAATCTTAAGCTTGAAACTTTTAAACGTAACTTAATATGCAATTTATTTATTTTGAGTTAGCAAAAATTCTCCATACTTTTGTGGTTTCAAACGAAGCTACGATTTGTATCATAAATGTCATAGAGCAATACTTTGTAATAGTTGGTATTTTATTGTAATTATTCTTGATTTTAATCTTACTCAAGATGTGTAGGCGTGCGTGATCGATGATGGAGCGATCTAGAAAATGCTCGTTTAATAATACAATTCTTTTGTTTCAGGTACCCACCTCGATTGGAATTAAACAAATCGGAAAAAGTAGGCACGTACTACGGCTATAAGGGATCTAAAATACTTAATACTGTCAAAAACTCACTAAGCACTAAAATTAAATTAGAATACGAAGTATTTGTAAGAGTTGTAGAAATTACAGAATAATGACTGTTTAATTGAAATTAATTTATTTGAAAGCCTATGAAAATTGTATAACCTTTGAATGTATACTGAATGCTATTTAAATATTTATACGGAAATAAAATGATGTAAGCTAGAGTGATGTGGTTGTTTCATTTTTTATTTAAGAGAAATAAAAAAAAAGTACTTATTCAGACAATTGAAAAAAAAACCTATTTCTTAAATTATTACGTCTCTATTATCATCATAATATGATACTATCAAAAAAGCACTGAAAAAATATTTTTCTTATAAGTATTTCAAGACTTCTACATTTTATAGGAAACAAAAAGTGTGTATTATGTACAAAGCCTGACAAAAACACAGAATAAATAAGTCAAAGAAGGATAATGGTAGGTATATATAGAGATGTTGCGTGTGGGAGAATCGAACAGGTAGGCCCGAAATGGTAACTTTGCATTTCAATGGGCAATTACCTATTCCAAAAATGTTGCCATCATGAATATTATCCGATTTTATTTCATGTATGCGGATGAGAACAATGTAGAGCAAGGTTGGATGAAATTTGGAGAGGATCAATTCTATACAAACTGGTAGTCAGGAGTCATATTTATACAGGGTGTCCTGAATGATATATCAACGTTTAGACTAAGATATCTTACATTGTAATTAATTTAAATTAGTTATATTATGTTCTATCTTAGTTAATGATCTATTATTAATTTCAATTGTTTAAAAAACATGGGTCGTATTAGGTACAAATATTTAATATTTATAGTTCCAATTTGTTGTCCCTGAAAATTACAACATTTTGTTTGCAATGCTTAAGATGTCAAAGTAAGTAAGCATATACTCGTAGAACATAAAAAGCTGCCACATTCAGGACCGGTCGTTGTGGAAATCCTTGAGGGACATCTTTGTACAGTCACGGAATGAAAAGGTTCGTCAGTTTTCAAATTGATTCCTTCAACGAATCGCGAGCACATATTACCTTTTGAAACTAAGTTACAGAATAATCTCGAGTTAGAGAAAATAATCTTTAACTGTTCGTCAGTAAAGTTCAAAATTATTCAGATCAAAGTTGTTTGACGATTTATCTTGTCAAGAAGAATATTATGATTGATAAACTAAAACCTTCTTGTTGGTTCAACCTGCCATTATTATTTCGATTAAATAAAAAAAACTATTGTCAATTATTGGTCAATGTCATCATTGCATTGCACTGATGGGATAGAAAAATAAACAAGCAAAACCTTATTTCGTTAGCAAACGTCATATTTATTTAAATGTTAGCAGCACTGTTTCTTGCACGGTTATGTTGGCAGGTTTGACTCTTACAGTACCTAGTGCAAGCGAAAACCGACACTAAGGTGACGAACTTTTTCATTCCGCGACTGTACATGAACTTCTTTGGCTGAAATGTTGATGATGATGATAAAAGGTACCGTAGTACTACATTGTACACTCAAGTCTTATTCTTACTTATTTTTCACATACAACACATGCAATATTCTCTACTTTTTGAAAACATGTTATTCAGGGAAACCTAAGTGGGAAACAACTTAGTTTGTAGTGGTATTGAGGAAAAACTGAGATGGTATAACAAAATGACTAGGTTTTAGTGAAAATCTTTACAAGAACAGCCTGTACATTTTCCTTTTCTCTATATACACATTATTATAGGTTCGTAGTTTTTTTTACAGAGACGAGTAAACATTTTGTTATTATAGATATTGGACTGATATTCGTTGTTAAAGATAGTGATAAATATATAGATCGATAGGTAATTTAAAACATTTTAAAGTAATATTTATAGAATTCGCGAATTGTTAAAAACGTTACGCAGTGTTCAATAACAATGAAAAATTCATAGATTTTAGTGACATCTTTTGTAAATTGAATTAAAACGCCATTTGTGTCAAATTAACGCTAATGATGTAGTGTGCCTCTATATTACCATAAACCACCTATAAAGTATTGTCTCGAGCAAGTTTTTCGAAATAATGTACGAAATATATGGATGAGTCTGTTGACGGAAGGACGAGCGAAGGCTGATCGCCTCTATGATCTAATTCTGTACTCGGGCGTGGTCGCGGCGATATATCACCGTGTGATCCAAATAAGTCGATCTGAATGCCAGCTTAACAAATAAAATTTACATTTTCTGCAATTCGACTCAATAGATTCTTGCAATAAATACTCCATTTTCGATTTTGACGACTGTATAAAAAGATACAGCAGGAGTTGGACTGTATCATTCGATTCTTTAACGATAACCATGAAGTCTGTAGCGGTGAGTTTTAGTGATTTTCCAGTTTGATTTGCAAATTGTAGGATTTGATAAGCCGGATTGTTGGATACAAAATATGATTCCTCGCTTTTAGGCAAAAAGTTGATCTGCGATCCTGATTTTGGATGGACTGTTTTGGGGTCATACATTTTGATTTTTAGGCTGACATTAGTGTTTTAGAATAGTATTAATGAGTTTGGTTAATGACTCTAGTTTTTCTTGACAGATTGCTTTTCTGGCATTGGCCTTGCTGAACTTCAGTACTGCTGAAGACGACGGTCAATACCACCCAGGAAAGTATGGGACTGACGACGGTAGCTACAAACCCACTAACGAAGGTCGCTACTACGGAGCTAAGGATAGGACCTACAAATACTACAGCACCGTAGACAACAGATATTTCGACAGCGTGATCACGCCGAACGGCAAATACGACTCTATCTACTCCGCGTATCAACCAGTCATTGTTAAGGCACAGACTCCGTATCAGCAGATATTGACTCCCTTCGTCAACTATGAAGCCGAAAGCGGGTAATTATTCCTGAATAATAATGGGTTTTAGAACACTCAGTCGTGATAATATTTTTTTTACTTTAGTCAAAGAATTGGTAAACGCTTTGGAGTTTTGATGCTTACATTTCACATCTAAGCGTATTGCCTATTAAAGATGAGCAGGGACATTATTTTAGAACTCCTCACTTTAAACTAATAGATATTTGAGGCAATCTAACCAATATGAATTACTTTCGTATTTCTCACAAACTTTTTTTGTAGCTACGAGTATAATGACTACTTTCTTTCTTGAAACACCTTGAATCAAAACTAACACACATAGTAATTATGTGAGTTGAGATGTTTGTTTTTTCTATTTCAGTTTCGAACAATACCCATTCGGATCTTCATTGTCTGCTGTCACCTACCGGCCTCCAGTGGTGCCTGTGGTGTCTACGATTAGCCCTGTAGTGTCTTCAGTAGCTCCCGTGGTATCGACGGTCAGCCCCATCGCGTATGCGTCGACGCCTAGGCCCGTAGTGTACTCCGCTCCAGTGAAGCCATTCGTGTACTCTGCTACACCAAAACCGATTGTATACTCGGCTGCACCGAAATCTGTCGTGATCGCTCCTAAAGCAGTACCAGTGAGCGTTCCCGTTTATGCTAAAGCTCACCCTTATTCAAACGAGGCCTACGCCAGAATCATCAAGCAGGATACCGACGTCGACGCCAACTCTTATCGCTACTTATATGAAACCGAAAATGGTATTGCGGCCCAGGAGGTAGGCGTTGTGGACGCCGTTAATGGAGGAGGAACCAGAGCAAGTGGTTTTTACGAATACGTGGGCGACGATGGTCTGAAGTACCGAGTGGACTACACGGCCGACGAAAACGGCTTCCACCCCAGAGGCGCGCATTTACCTTAAGAATATTTTTGACGATGTATTATTAATTTAATTAATACAAATACAAAAGAAACGATTCAGTATTTTTAAAATAAACGAGAAGCTATTTATATGGTTGTTTAATTGTCGTGTAACTAATATTATGAGAGTATTGATTCCGAATTGTGTATTTTATTATAAGAATAGAAATCATAGTTAGTTATCATGCATTTGAGAAGATCAGACTCGAGATGAAACCAAGCAGTCAGTAATTTGCTAAAATAAACTTTTACAAGCACGATTATTTTCATTCTTTTGACTACTTAAACTTCTTAAACTTTATAATTTAATATACCCATAATCTGACACCTTTTCGGAATATTTTTTGGGTTTATGCCCTTACCTGGGCCATTTAACGACACCGCAGTTCTCGTTATAAAGCTATAAAAATAACTCATGTTCAAAAGAAGGTTCTAAGTCGTGAGTTTCGGGTTTAAGTGACATTCGAGAGGGAAAAATAATTTCAGCCTCAGTAGTATCTTTATCAGTTAAAACTAAGGTACCTAACTAATTACTCCAATGATCATCAGAAACACAATCAGTAACCTTTGAAACTCTACGAAAAATAACAAATGCCTAGATATCGAGTTTGATTAATGGCAATGTAATTTTTGAATGATTCATATGAAAATTATATCAATTATTACAGTGACAAATTCTTGATTCCAGAGTTTTTTTTAAATTTTTGGGCCTATACCTACCTATAGATTGAACTTTTTACTCTTATATATTTAAAACTTACATAAACCAAATTAGGCGCACTTTATGTTTTATTATTGTTTGGCACATACCTAAACGGCTTTTACCTATCTCTACGGCCTACAGCGGTTCATTAAGTTAGTTTGAAAAAGGAGTTTATCTCAGTTATTAAAATCCACAAAAAAGATGTAACACCCTAGGTATGCTTAGAGTATCTATCGTCTCTAAATTGCTGATAGTTTTTCACGTAAAACACCTCGGACTACTTTTAATTTTCAATCCATTTTGCCCGTTTTTATTTACCAAAACGTTTATTTTGAACTTGCAAAAGACTACGTATTACATTAAGTTATTAATTAATCAGTGGTATTTCCACAATTATGCCCAATGTGGTGCCACACCACTGGTTTTTGTTTTTATTTTCTGCTGAAACAAACTCTATTCTTCTAGTATTATGAAATTCAGTCCTGAGAAAGCTTAACCTGAAAATTAATATTTTTTAGTATTTATAGTCATTAGTATTTAGTTTGTCTTTCCTTAAAAAAAGGCTTTTTAAATTCTTTGTTTATTATCCGAAAATTGTCTCCATGGGGTTGACTAATAAAATTAAACCAATATAAAACAACACACAATTTCATAGCTACGAAGCTAATAATGGATTTCCACGTCAGTGGACTGGAAACTGACATTTTTGTAATCTTACTAATATTATAAATTGATTAATAAAAAAAATGATTACTCAAGAGCTTCCATAAAAGCCTTTGACAAGCGGAGACAGAGTCACCAAGTTTTCTGGTGCATTTAAATTAATTGTTGTATAAATTATTACACGATAGGTATAAGTATACTAACTCTATGTCTCACCAAATAAGTTTAGACTGAACGATGAACAGTCAGTATCTGAATAAGTCAGGACTTTGGTTTTTATATTTATACTTAGGATAACAATTAAGTATTCATAATTTTAATTATTTATTCAAACTTGATATAGACTAATTAATTAATTAAAATCCGTAGTATGCTGAACTACAAAAGCTGAGGGTGCAGATTCGAATCTCGTTAAAGGTATAGTGTCAGTTTCCAAAATAATTATATTTAAGTAGGTATGATCATTGATCATCTATTTCCTAGTCGCTACAGAACGTTCTGATTTGTTCGGGACATTGAAATTGGTGTAACAATCGTGAAAAAATATAATTCTGCTGCGGCAAATGTCAAAGTATGAGTGTTTTATGCAATTTAAATAGATGTTTAAAATTTTTGCATAAACTATGCAACCGCATCCGTTGGTATTGTAACACAAATATTGCATATAGCTCAAATGGTGCCTTTTGTAGATACTTATATTAGCATATCCTATCATTTATGTCATAAATTGCGTTTCAAACAAATTTTGATCTGGTTATGTTGTAAATGTCACATCTTTATTAATTTAATACGATTAATGCAAATGCACAACAATAATAATGCGAAGTTGCGTAAATTGACTACGCAAACTTATAAAAGTAAAAAAATATATTTTTTTCATCATTCAGTTAGTTATCGGTCAACAGGACATCATCAAGTCGACTGTACCAAAATGAAGTTTTTGGTAAGATTCTTTTATTTAATTGACCGGATTTTTTTCTTATTTAACTGAAATTGATATATGAGATAGTGATTAATGAGAGATGCGTTTTTGGCTTGAAATGGTTTTTACTCCATGAAAGTTTTAAATCATTGATGGTATATTTTCTTGGGCATTACTCGTACATTTAACTTTTCGTGTCATAACTTAATTTTTTTTCTAGATGGTTTTAGTCGCCGCCTTGGCTGTGGCATCCTCAGACAGCGCCGACCAGGCAGCCGAAATCGTCAAATTTGAGAATGACGCCCAACCTGATGGCTCCTACAAATTTTCGTATGTTATCACATTTCATATTATATTTTTATGATTCATTTTATTATTTGTAGAGTGAGTTTGTTGCGGCGAGCCGCTTCCTCTCAGCACTTGTCAAATGTTTGTATCAAATCGCTGATAGGACTAAAAAAATTATGAGAGGGCAGAAAAATTAAAAGCATAACTGTACTAAAACAGCTGACGTTTATGTTTTTCATCAGATTCGAGACCAGCAATGGCATAGCCGTGGGCGGGCAAGGAGAACCCCGTAATTTCGGTGGTAACCCTCCAGTAGTCCCAGTGGTTAGCCAGGGCTACTACAGCTTCTACACTCCAGACGGTCAAGCTAACAGCATCTCTTACATTGCCGATGAGAACGGCTACCAGGCATCGGTATGAATATTGATTTTTTATTTTTTATAGTTATAATAATAGGGTAAAGAAGAGATGCTTCTTCGTTGTACTATTTGATAGGTGTGATGCAGGGCATCATTTTAAGACTACTGGTGGTTAAACCACTGTTAAAGAAGACTCTATCATGGTAGTTCAAAATATAAATATTTAAAGAGTACTACTAATACATAGGGTAAACTGCCAATCATGGGACACTTAATGGAGTTATTGGACAGTTATTTATTGAATTAAAAATAATATCATTTCTATTTCAACAACTAAGAGATTCCGACTGATAGAGATAAAAGGCGTTAAGTGCCAAGTGATAATATGCATGTGAAGGAATATTCATTTAGGACATTCAATGAGTGTTTTGTCCAATGACTGGCAGCGTCTAATGAATATCGGTTTACCCTACTAATAAATATCCTTGAACATTTTACACTACGCTTCTAGTCCCAAACTAAGCAAAGTTTTAAAATCATTTACGGCAAAGTTTCTGTTTCAACAGCATAGCTGTATAATAGAGTGATCTTATAGAAAACTGTGAATTTGTTGTATTTTGTTACTTGTAATATGTGTTATGTTCATCACCAGGGTTCGGGTATCCCCACGCCTCCCCCCACACCGCCAGCAATCTTGAAGGCCCTGGATTACCTCGCTAGAAGCGGCCAGCTGAAGAAATAGACATAAGACACGTAACATAATATAGTCTAAGTTACTTAAATTCAGATAAAGAGTGATTAATTATTATAATTGTAACTAGTGTGTTAATACACAATTTCATTGAATAAAAGTATGACGGATGAGAATGATGTATTTATTATTATTCCCAACGTCTATATAGTATCATACTAACCCAAAAAAATACCTACATAAAGGTTGCAGAAAAGCGCTGAATGCAGGCCGCTACCAACCGGCCAGTCTAAAAATCATAAGAGGCATATTTTCAGCAGTATACGTCTTGTGGCTGAAACACCAAATCAATTGACATATTTTACAGCTTCAAAAATTATTTACAGTTATTTATAACGTAGTAAAAATTACGGGCTAGAATTGGGGGTTCTTTTAAAGAAGTTGAGTACAAGAATTATTGGTGTCTTACAATAAGGTTGTCGTATATAACTACTTACCCAATTTATTTACCACAACATTAAAATTAATAAAATTTATGGGTAGGTAATTCATATAATTTAGGATAAATAAAATGATACATAGGTTTAAAAAGCAAAACTGTTTGTATGGAAATATGAGTTTAAATCTCTAAAACAAAACGACAATAAATTGCAAATGTAGAGACCTAATATTATTTTAGTTCAAAATTTTCAATTTGTTAATATTATTTATATCTCAATAGATACACATTTCATGTACTAGTTGTAGATATAGTAAGTATATTATTAATGTACGGTACGAGTATGACATTTAGGCTGACTTGCACCACCTAACTTTGACCGTAACTTTAACGTCAACCGGTGTGTTAGTATGGAGTTTGACAGCTTTTTGACGTTTGTCAAAGTTAAAGTAAGATGATGCAACTCAGCCGTAAAATGGCAAAACTTGAATACCAGAAAAAAGATTGACGGCTACGTGAAGCAATTGTAAAAATCATAGTTACGTTACATACCTATTACCTACATTATCTTTGGTAGATGTGTTGAGTGTCTATGTTTTTATGAAGAATTCAAAGCGAAGCAGTGAAGTGACTTTGGGCTGAAAAAAAAAACGCGAATATTCGCAGATTCTAGAACTTTGTAGATAATGTTATTTTCAGAGGCCATAATTTATATAAAATTTGATATTTTACAAGCTATCAGCGGCTTGATAAGTTTAAATAGATTAGTGAAGATATTTTGATAGAAAAAAGTTAATAATGCATTTCCGAACACGATCTAGCTTTAAGACGTATTCTTTTTAAAGAAATTGAAATGCTTACAACTTTTTTCGCTATTTATATAATTTAATGATATGAAGCGAAATTAACAAATTTCAATAGGTTTAGGGTTAAAGTTGAAAGACCGCGGACCGTTTTGAAACAGGTTATAAGATGAAATGACTAATAAGAATGTATTAAATTAACGATTATAACTATCCATGTAGTGTTTAATTCCATTCGAATCAATCGCATGGTCTTAAACAGGTTCTGCCTCAGATTTATTTATATTTTTCTAATAATATGGGTGTCTTCATAAAACATCTAATAGGTATTTATTCAGTAAGCGTACTGCATCCAAAGTCTCAACATTATCACACACAACATCGTCATGGTAAGCCATGAGGTGTGATTGTGATTGAGGTGAACAAAGAGGTATGAAAAAGAGTAGGAATTAGAACTGCAATGCAAAATTATAATTCTAAGTTATTTTAGAATAAATAAGTAAGTAGAATTTTAGAATAAATTGGCGGAATAGAAGCTGGCTCAGACATTTGGAAAGAATGGGATCGTCTGGCGAAGCAAGCGTAATTGGGACGACCTAGAGGCCGTCATATAAGGTTGTCCCAGTAGTTACCGCTTGAAGTCTTCCCAGCAAAGTCACTAAGACCTGCTCGATCTCCATAAATGACTAGAGATGACGCAGACCAGAGTAGAGATTTTTATTGTCGGAGGCTAAGACTTACTTTGGGTCGCTACGTTATCCTAATTTAGTTTTAGAATATTATAATATTTATAATAACGCAAAAGTTTTGAATCAGAACTGCTACATTTATTATTCAAACATTACATTATACCAAGGTTGATAATCGTAAATAATTCAGAATCTAAAAAAAAGACAACCGTAGATAATTTAATTTTCATGTTGATAGTCTCAGGTTAAATTTTTAGGCAATTCATTAAACAAAGTCACATTTTTTTATTACATAATATCTCGCATTTGGAAAAAACATTACTAATGTTAAGAAAATTACTAATTATTATGGACTTTGAAATATAAAGTCGTCTGATCGGGATTTGTGGCCGGGAGGATTCTGGGTGAAACTCGCTTCTTATTCCTCCTTGATTAAACTTTCCATCAGGTGAGATGCAGACCAAGATCATAATGTCTTGTTGTGGTCCAAAAAGAATTTTATTCTGTACACTATTATCTTTATACACAAATATTTGTATTGTTCGGGGAACGAAACCTACAACTAAAATCATTGTACAATCAACTTCATATAGACGAAGATCTATCACAGGGTAGGAAGTTTAAGGATGAGAAAGGTTAAAGTTAAAATTATGTAATATTTTAATTCGATAAATTAGAATATTATCCCTTAGTAGAAAATTCATGTTTGTGGTGGTGCAGTTGCAAGCATTGCTTGTTAGGATTTTTTTTACAAAAACTAAAGTGATTTTCTTCCAATAAATATTTCTTGGTATGTGCAGAATTAGTTAATTAATTAGTACCAAATCGTATGCAAAACATAACAACAAAGGTAATAATATAATCAGTTTTAAATTCAACAGCTGTATCTTCAAAGAAAATAACGTAAAACAGCTAGTCTAATGTAAGTTATTGCAATATTAACTTATCGATGACAGAAATTGTTAAAAAAAGTAAGAATGGAAAAGAAAATATTGTTTCAATATTTGGAAAGTAAAATTGTTTATATCTAAGAGGTGTTTTTAAAATGCAACAAAATAATATGAAGTTTACTTGTATTCAAGCTTTTCGATAGCAAAATGAACAAACGTTTCAAAAGATAATGATTTTAACCTCGATAAAATTATTTCATGCCGCCTGATATCAGTAAAACGGCGCATCTTTTATTTGGAAGACTAATTCTAATTGATTAATGTTTTCAAGAGTGACCTTATGAAACATTATGGTCAATACCATAGCTGGTCCAAGTGTTATTTGATAACGTTTCTCAGTCTCGGCGTCAAATTATTTAAATGTTATTGCAATTCGGCTCCTAAAGTGGGTGGATCCATCGATGATATATAAAGCTAGCGCACAATTTTTTCCACGCATTCAAACTAGTTCATCGAAGCTACTAGTAAGCTAGCAATTCAAAATGAAATTCGCTGTAAGTATTGGTATACTTACCAAATTTAAAAAATATACCAATTTTGGTATTGCACCCTCAAGTAACAAAATTAAATCCAACTCCCTTATTATATTTTTATTTCTAAATGATTTTTGTTGCATTTATTTGCATTGTTTTGGTGTCCTAATAAGCAAAACAAAATAAAAAATACATAATATTAAAAGTTAGAAGATATTTTATACATTTCTCATTTGAGCAAATAAACGCTATTATTAATTCCTGTTAATTACCGCTACGTGTTCTCTACTAAAAAGCTTTTGTTCTGATTGATAATTTCCTCTCGCCCTTCAGATTGTTGTATTGGCCTGCGTGGTAGCTGCGGCGAACGCCCAGTTTCGTAACCCAGGACGTCCCTTCGCCAGCGCCTTCGGTTCTGCCCAGAAAGCCAGCCCCTTCCGCTACCAGCCCTCTCCCCCACCTGTCCCTGTCGCCGCCCCCGCCTACAACCCAGTCCGCGCCGTCGTCAACCAAGACGCCAGGAACGCCAACATCCTGAAGTCCGGAAACGACATCAACCCTGACGGCAGCTACAGCTACTTGTGAGTTTCATTTTTCCATAAACTTAAAACTAAACCCCCTTATTAATAAAAAGTTACACCTAGGATGAACACTGGATTAAAATGACATTTCCATACTAAATGACAACTTAAGCCAGAGTTCAAATAGGTAATAACTTTGGGGGTAAAGTATATACTTTGCAATTTATTGTGTCGGTAACAATGAAAGCTTCACAATGGACAATGCCCTAATGTTAAAAATGTATTTAGGAAAAAAACAAAACTCATTTTTACTGCTCTCGTTCATAAAATAAAAATATTTACATATAATATCGCGTCCACAAAATAGAATATAAAACGTTTTACTCCACTGTATGCGAAAAAATTGCTAAAACCATTTTACGATGATCGATTTAAATCTTACACGAATGTAATGAGACGCTTTGAAAGGTCACACTGCTCATAGAAACATACCCTGCAGGCGAATTTTACAAGTCATTTTATAATGAGTTCCATTCTCGACGGAACACAATATATTAACTAATTGTTTACAGAACTAGTAAAGATTTTATTACAAAACTTCGAAATAAATGCAAACACCGCAGTTTGCAGTAACAATCTTTTAAATCGATAACGTAAACTCGCATAAATCAAATACACATACTTACCTCGTGATGTACAAAACGAACCTTGGTTCCATCCAATGGTGTACTTTTTTTTAATTAAAAAATACCTTCTCTTATAATATTTCCATTTATTTTTTTCTAGCTACGAGACTGACAACGGTATCGCCGCCCAAGAGCAGGGAACTCCCCGCAACTTCGGAGGAAACCCCCCAGTCGTGCCTGATGTAGCCCAGGGATCCTTCTCTTGGACCTCCCCCGAGGGTGAGGTGGTCTCCATCTCCTACGTCGCCGACGAGAACGGATACCAGCCTCAGGTAAAAATTAACTAATTACTGTAAAAGCATGTTTCACTCAAAAGAATATAATGATAGCCATTATTTAGCTAAAGACATATTATTATGGTATTATGTTCTTTGAAATATTTACGATATTTAGAACCTAAAACATAGATCAGATTTTATGGAAAGGTATCGATTCTTTAATATCTTTTTGTAGAGGTAATCTTGTCTTTCCCACCACTGCAACTCCTGCATAGTAAGGTTTGGTCTGCAATGAGCTAACTTGCCAACCATTAAAAGAGGTGGATGAGATTTTAACTTCAATTGCTAATTTTTAATTCTTTTTTCTAGGGAGCCCACATCCCCACCCCTCCCCCAGTGCCCGCCCAGATCGCTCGCGCCCTCGAGTACATCGCCAAAAACGCGCCCAGGCAGTAAACCACCCATCGAATAATTGACACGTGATTGTGGTCACCGTCGTGCAATATTGTGATAATTCTGTTAAATTTTAAACCACTCATTATATGTAGATAATAAAGCTTTAAACGTAAATACACCTATTTCTGTATTTCATTTCTTTTGAATATTTTTACCTTATGTCTTCAGCGGACTCTAATTAAAGCTAAAATATTTCCTTCAATAGGAAATTGTAGATTGGCTAGGCATCTGAAGTACTCGTATATATCTTGTGGGGTCCTGACAAAGTTACTAAAGGGAAAGTTTTCAATTCAGTCCTTGAAGAGATTTTGAAATTTAAACTCACGAATGTTACTTTATTTAAGCCCGTGTTGATTGAATGAGATTGAGAGCCCTCTCTACAGATGACAAATAACAGCCTACCTAAATTTGGAAAATCTCTTTTGTATTAGTAGATAAGTACGCGATCCTAAACAAGATTAAAATTAAGATGATAAAGGTAGGCAATATCCCAACTAAAAAAAACCAAAGTTACTAACTGTCTTAACTTTAACCGCAAGGGTCCTAAATGGTCTTAATGTGTGACGTCAATGACACTGATCCAAAAGAACCAGTGCTTTTTGTATTATCGGCAATGTTATAAAATCCGACATTCCTTTTATGGGCTCAATAATCGACACAATGCTGCCCCAACATTAATGTGCAGGTTTCAAATAAAAACCTTCAACTTTGTGATAAAGAAGGTCATAAAAGCATGCATGAAAACTTTAAATCCGATGTAAAATATTTTTTTTTACATTTCTTTACCGCATTCCAAATGGTGTTGTTGAATATACGGAATATTTGTAGTGAATAAAAAATAACTTACCTAATAAAAAAGAAAATTAATGAAATCCCACGTGTGCAAAGTTGCAGACAAAGCTAGCTTTACCAAGCTTAGGCTGGGTTGCACCATCTTACTTTAACTTTGACAAATGTCAAAAATCTGTCAAACTTCATACAAAAAGCACCAGTTATTGTCAATGTCACGGTTTAAGCTGGTGCAACTCAGCCTTAGTATACCAAACTAGCTTAGCATAATAAAAAAAAACGTAGATATAAAGTCTAAATTATAAAAAGCTCATCTGTTTTACGGACAGCTTATTAAGATAAGGATTAATGATGTGCCGCATTTAAAATAAAAACAAGACTTTGATGAGTCATAACGTGAAAAAGCTTCCACGCCTAAGAAAAAGCTTAGGCAATGAACTACGACGCGCCATTTCCTGTGTAGTTGAAGCGCGCTGGCAGAAGTCTATAAAATGTGGTTTTTTATGTCTGGTTGAATTACCGGAGTTCCATTTTTAAAGATAAAGTACATATTTTGAATAGTAATAAATAAGTATAATTAAGTATAATAAATTACCACTTTACTCATAAAACTAACACGCTCGTTGAAACAGTGTTTTAAAGTCATGTTTAGTATGGAAATGTCACTTTAAAACAGTGTTCAACAAGTGTGTAACTTTTTATTTATGAGGGGATTGAACAGGTGCATTTTCAGAAAGTGCCGAAAGTTTTTCGCTTAGTACCTCTGTTCGCGATCGCGAGTGATATAAAACCTATTTGGATATTGTGACAGTGAAAAATCATACGGCATTCTTTTGTTTTACTCTCTGTCGGTTGGATTCGATCAGTACACAAGTCTGTTGAAATTATTTCGCATTTTTACTTTAAAATATACCTGATTCCCTTCATGGTCCTTCGAGCCGGATCAATNAATTACTTTTACCTTAATTTAATCTTCAAAAGGAATAGCATCGCGTTAATTTCCACAGTGAAAGTTACAACGCAAATGTTTCAAAGTGAAGAAAAATTAATTGTAGTTTAATTTGGAGAGAATTTTTCATGATGCTTTCTGCATCATCATGCATGATATTATACATTTAAAATTATTCATTTTCGCTCATACACAACTATGTCTTTGCAATTTAATATGACTCAAGAATGTTACGTATATTCACATTATTGATGACACGACAGATTTATTTTATTGCTATTGGAGATTACAATATTGTAATCAGAAGGTCAATCGACATTTCGATGTCTTATTTGTCAAAGTTATTTCGTTAATGACTATTATCATTTTGATGTGTGAACAATAGATTTTATGGTAAACTGTGATATTGAAATTAGTTTGAGTACGAACATCTTCGATTCTATAATTTATTGAGCGGTGATTTAGTTGCTAATGACATCGTAAATTGATGTATCTGATCGCCAGGTCTCCTGGTTGAATGTCCTTGGTTTTTATAGGTGTCGCACTACTCCGGCTTAAGATGAAGGACCTGCCCACGCGGCTGGGCTGTGCTCATCCAACAATTACGCAATCTGAAATGCTATAAACAACAGGTTTTAGAGGATTGATCTGCGATTTGACCTTACCTGTTGCGATAAATAGAAATTTATAAGCTTTTTTTACTTGCTTCTTTTTTGAGTCATCGGTGAACGCTCTTTATAGCATCCATTTTGCATAAAAGTTACCGATCATCCTTAAAAGGCTATTAAATTGTTAAGGAGTGGTTGGTTTCTCAATAATGGATTACGATTTTCCACATACAGACATAAAGAGCTCCGACGGTTTAGGATGCCTCAAGACTTGTTGAGATACTTACATGACAAAGTTTAATTTATTGTTATGTTTTAAATGCTAAAACTGATGATGTCTGGTGCCAAGAGATTTGTAATGTAGACCAGTTATTATGCAAATCATGATAAAGTTCAATGTCAAGTTCATTCTTCAATAAATCGTCTTGCTTGAGATCATTAAATTATAATGCTTGCGCGCCGTCTGTTTCAATATTCCTTATATGCCGCCAGGGACAGCTTGCCCAAAATAAATGTGTTTAAGTTCGTCTGTTGTTCATATTTCATAATAACGGCCTTAATTTAAATAAGTTGTTGAAAGGAATGTTTGTTGTAAATGGGCGAAGATAATTTTATATCATACGGTTGGAACAATCTATACTTATAATAAATCTGTAGAGAGGTCAATTCTGTACATGAAATATATTTTCAAAATAACTATCAGGGGGTGATTAGTGATCGATACTGATGCCAAAAATGCAATCAGTAAAATTTTTGTCTGTCTGTCTGTCTGTCTGTCTGTCTGTAGATAAAAAAGATAATATATTAGCTTGACTGTATGTTAATAGAAACTAGAATTCCATTGAGCTAAGGCGTGATCATCGCTATTCCATTCTGTAAAACTATGCAGCGGACGCTCTGCGACCTTAACATTTTATCCTTCAACAAACACGCAGCTTTTTATTATTAAACATAAGCCCATTCACTGTAATGACATCTAACAATACTGAATGGATGTATAAAATAAATACATAGTCTTTTATTTCATAGGTAATAAATACAAATACAGATAATAAATAAAAATTAAATTGGTGTAATACACTTAAATAGTTCACACTGCAAGGACATTTAAAAAGTTTGAGTTTTTTTTATATTCATGATTAATTTACGTAGTCACCATTTATCAAAATTGTCCAGCATTGTGTGTGTGGAGTGCAGATGCGGTTTTGTTACCCGGTCGATGAAGCAAATGATGTCGTGCCCTGAGTACCCGAGCAACTGCATTCAGGAGGATTTAATGAATGCTGCTGACGACGTCACTCTTGTAGCGGTTTTGGGCTGACACTGTGTAGGTTTGTTGTCGACACGATAAGAAGAAGAAGAAGATCAAAATTGTATCCAACATAATTCAAAATTTTCTACTAGTTAAGTCGCGATTGCTGTTTAACAACGTGCAACTAATTTTATAATATGAAGTCGTTTGACACCACATTTCCAAATGCTTGGTTAAATATTGTGTTGCATAATTTGAAATTGATTTAGCGTCATTTATTTAAGTCACAAGGTGCAATGAAGATTGAATCTTCTGCTCGACACTTTAGTGCTACGAAACTATAATTAGAATAAATGAATGAGTAAGTCATTTGCTAATTTATTATGCAAATTAATTTTATTAAAGTTATAACTCGATAAGCTTAAAGAATATGTTTGTCATATAAGTTGATGTTGTGCATTAATTTTTTTATAAAATTCTCTAAGCTCAACAAGATTTCGAGCTCAAATTTTTATTTACGAGTAGTTTGCTTACCTCAACCGTCTGGTCAGTAAGGAGTTCACGGATAACTCATCTAGAACTAAGATTAAGAATTTATTTATTGGTTTTAAAATCATAGAGATACGAGAAGGCCCATTTAGAGTTAAGACTAAGAAAAGGTTTGGCTACTGCCTACTATTTGCATGAAACCAAGTCACTCTCGTTGTTTTGTTCGGTTAGATCTTTTAAACTACGCAACGGATTTTAGTGCAGTTTTCAGCAATAGGTAGAGTGCTTCAAGGGGAAGGATTGTAAATTATTGTTGCACCCGTGCGAAGTATTTGTGGGTGGGGAAGTATTTGTGGTACCCCGGGCGGGTTGATAAATACAGTAATATTTTTTTGTACCAAACTGTACTGTACAGTCAGCGTCAAATAGGTCGTGACACCCAAAGTAGCCAATAAGTTCGCTTTTTTAATTGGAATTTTGTATAAATCAACTTTTTGGCCAGTTTACCAACTATTTGACGCTGACTGTACAATGTTGACATGAGTTTAACCATATGCCGAGCATTAATCGCAGGGCGAGCCAAACCGCTTCGCCGCGGTTAATGCAACTGCGGCGCCATGCCCGCGCATGCCAAAGTGCAAGGGTCAGCCATCTTCCCAACTCGGGTACAAGTACTTATTTCCATCAACAGATTGTTGCTCCTCATTTCATTCATATCATATTCATAACAGTTTTGTATAACACCGGTGATGTAGAATTGAATTATTTTAAAATATTTAAAATATAAGTAGACTAATTAACACAACATTTTATTTAAAAATACGAACTCTCCTGCACCTCCCCAACACACAAAACGTCCTAGTTTAGCAACCCCACCTTTCCATTGAATTGCCCACGCTTGCGCCTACCTTTGGGGGGTCTTCTCCCCTATCGTCAGCCAGCCCGCTTAACTTCTATCCTGACCCAATTTTGCTAGAGAATACCGGAAGAATAGAAGGAATTGT